ACGTTTAATTTTCATTTCTTGCAGACTGCTAAAATGGTTGGCTGCCTTCACATTGATCTAAAGTAATCACTCAAGACCATGATATAAATATTTAAAAGAGGCTCGTTCAGGCATTATCCCCCTCTTTGACCAATTAATACCAAACAAACTGATGATGTCACCCCCACCGTTCACATAATTTTAATCGTTTTCCTATCATCCCTTAATCTTATTACATCTTCATTATAGCACAGTTTCCCTACTTCTCTTATAATCTAGCATTACAGGATTTATCATGAGCTGATATCAATTAAAGAACCATTGGAAAATCTGAGAGTACTGGACAGCTGTTTCACCCTAGTTTGGGACTTTTCACCGCACTCGCCCACCAGGGTTCGAACCGAATACCTTCCGGTTTCGAGGCGAGCTTATATACCACTCAACCACTGGCATCCAACCCAGTGGACCCCTGGGTCTTGTCCTAGTGGCTGAATGATCCACCAGTTCGCCTTTAAGACCAGGTGTTGGGTTCGAAACTCAGCTGGTGTTTACTGATGAAGAGCCCCAAAATGGGACCAAAACAGCCGTCCAGGACTCCTAAGCTTCCCAATGGTTCTCTAAATGATATCAGCTCGTGATCAACCCTGGAGCTAATCAAATCCCTGCTAACCAACACTGAATAATTAATCTAGCATTAGTTGATCGGACCATTTATTTTTCGTAGCCTTTATCGACTACATCTATCTGAACATTTTTGTGTTTAATCATGCTATTTATCATAATCTTTGTTATCACAAACCGCTCCACTTTTTCATGTTTGTTACTGATAGAATCATTGTTATTATTATTATTAATTGCACAATTTTATGCGCAATCTTATCATTACCGTAATCGGTTCCTATTTTACATTTATTTGTAAAGTTATGTATATTTGAGTTACTCCTGATGACATCCATTTGAAAACAATATTCAAGTACTGGTTTGTAAGGATTTGATTGATTGGTTACAGGATTTCATCAAGAGCTGACATCGGTTAAAGAACATTTGGAAAACCAGCTGGAAATACTGGACAGTTGTTTCATCAACCTAGTTTGGGACTCTTCAGCAGTACGCACCCACCCACAGGATTCGAAACCAGGACCTTCTGGTTACAAGGCGAGCTCGTAGACCATTAATCCACTGGGACCCGATCCATTGACCAGCTTATGAATTCTGACTTCTGCCAATTCACAAAATAGCGCGACCGCTAACCAAATCCTGTAACTAGTCAATAAAATCCCTGCTAACCAATACTGGGATATCAGTGAGATGCTCACTGGCGACTGGCCCTATTCAGGTAGGTAGCTACTTGGGGTTCTAGTGGGAAGTCGTGACCAGTAGGGTGCAGCAGGTCTAGTGTGCGGACAAATACTCGCCGAAGACATTGGCTAGTGGTCGTGCTATGTCGTGAATTGGCGAAAGTTAGGATTCATGGACTGGCCATTGGATGGGGTCCCAGTGGCTTAATGGTCTACGAGCTCGCCTTGCAACCAGAAGGTTCTGGGTTCGAATCCTGTGGGTGGATGCGTGCTGCTGAAGTTGATGAAACAACTGTCCAGTACTTTCACTTGGCTTTGCAATTGTTCTCTAACCGATGTCAGCTCATGATGAAATCTTGAAAACAGTATTGTTCGCTAACGTGTTCGTTCTATATTTTGTTGTGTTCTTCAATATAAAATATGTTAGTGGTTTCAATTTATACAAACAGTATGGCTGAGCAGCAGTCACACAATAAACCTTGTTAATTTTATCCGACAAATCTTGATCAACAGGTCTTGATGTATTACGCTTTCATTGGATTGCAGTAGCGCATGGTACTGTACCTATGAAACACACCATCAAGTGAATACAAGTATTATTAATATTTATGTCATTTGTGACTTTCCCTCTGAGTGCGAAAGAAGTGGCTCTTGTGGCGTAGGCAGCCTAGTGGATAATTGTTTGGCGTTTGAAACGAGCGGTACTGGATTCAAGTCCCAGAGAGAACACCATCACTAATTCGGAATGCAAATACACTCAGCTGACGACTCTCAAATAGGGCGAAATGTGCATTCTGGATTCCGGTGCTAGCCACCATCTACCAAATTACTTCAGGACAAGAAAATATGCTTATAGAGTCTCATATTTCTTAAATATTTGCTTCATTGAAAATTTGAACCAAGAGAAATTGAGTTAAACAGTGTAGTCACTATAAAACTGTTCATTTCAGGATTTCATCATGAACTGATATCGGCTGGAGGACCATTGGAAATTTTTGGAGTAGTGGAAAGCTGTTTCGTCAACTCAGTTTGGGACTCTTCATCAGTACTCATCCGCCACCAGGACTCAAACTCAGGACCTTCTGGTTACAAGGCGAGCTAGCTTGTAGACCACTAAACCACTGGGACGTGATCCAATGCCACGTGAATTCCAACTTCAGCCAATGAACGAAATCCTGAAACTAATCAAATCCCTGCAAACTAGCACTTGAAAACCTGTTTAATCACCGTTTTTTTCTCTAAAGATAAATTGAAGTACATTCACCTCTCTGATTATCAGTGACTAAATAACTCTGTCCATTAGAATTTGATATTTAGTTAGTGGTTCAAGGATAGAATACGCAAGGGCCATGTTTGTTGTCCAAGGATCAATTGTCTGTCGACACATTCACAAGCTAACGTCGCGTAGCTGGAAGTAAGCACAGAAAAGAGGGAAAGTTGAGTGTGAGGCTAGCAACCTCACCCTGTAAAAATAACACCACCGCTACTGAAGCTTTAAACCTTCAAGCTTGGAGCACTATGTTCCACCTGAAACTCAAATGACTCAACGTGAAAAAATGAATTCAGTTCCTGATTTGTAACAAAAATTTGGATTTAAACAAAGTATGAAACTCGAGCAGAGATGAAACTGTTGTAGACCTTGTGAATCGTATAGAAGAGAAGCAGAAATGATTCATGTTTCTGTTTAAATGAAATATAACTGAAGGAAAGCTCTCTTAATATTAAAGATGATCAAGTGTGTGTGCACCTGTGATGCTGTGTGCATTTATTGATGTGTTTTTTTACAAGGATTATTGAGCTATCAGTACTGAATGTCTCAATGAACCCCCAGCAGCCAACATGTATGCGATTCTACTCATATAACTTACTGACAAAAGTAAGGTTTTCTGGAATTACAAGTTAAGCAGCCCTGTAAATAGCAGACAGAAGTTATGCATCTGCCATGTCCCCATTTTAAACCTTTTATAGAGGTATTTTATGACAAATTACTTAAACTGGTCATGCAAAGCATTCCCACCAGTTTACTGCAGATATTCATTGATATCTGTCTTCACTAGCTCAATACTCGATGTCCGATGACCAGAAGGTATTATCAGTAAGGAATTCTGGGAACGAAACATGCAACATTATTACATATGTAAAACTTCGACACTGTGGTAGTAAGTAATTCCATAGTAGTTTGTTTAATAGATGTATCAGACAGTGAAACAGTATTATTTACTGGATGACGTTTCGAACAAAATTTATTGTTCATAATCATATCAATTATAATCACACGACTTCGAAACTTGAGTTTTATAGTTTTCTTTGTTCTCTCCTATTTGTCGTCGTTGGGGTAGTAGAATTTTCCAGATATCCAGCTGGACAGGTGTTGAATCATTCCTATTACACGTGTTTGCAGTTGATTCGATAAACAAAGCTTCCGTTATCAGTCCCCCCTCCACCGTTTGATATTAGATTTTAAAACTATCATTTTATCCTATCCTATTGTATGTTTGTGTGTAATTGCATGTAGTGCTATGGCTGAACCATTCTTTAGATTCCTTATCTTATTCGGGTCAACTAATCTAGATTTTGCTGCTAGGTTTTTGTGCTCCGCTAGTCTGAATGACCCTGTTCTACTACTATGACCTATATATTTGACCTCACTGACAATCATGGAAGCATGGTATTAGATAAACTAAATTGTTTTGTTTTAAAGGCTCTACAGGATCCTTTAACCGACAAAGCTTGTTTCTAATTGAGTTTGTGGGTTTGAATGCCACTTTTATTCCTGCCTTGTTAAGAATTCTCCGTAAGGTTTCCGAGGTTCCTTCCTTGTGTGGAATTACTACTGATGATTTAGATTCCTTATTGTTGGTGTTGTCTTGCATGCATGTCGTCATTAATATTACTATTATTACTATTACAATAAAAACCTAGCAAAATCTAGATTAGTTGACCCGAATAAGATAAGAAATCTAGAGAATAGTTCAGCTAGAGTGCTACATGCAATTACACACAACAATACAAAAGGATGGGATAAGATGACAGGTGGATTGGACGCATACTGAGGGGCTCACTGGGTGACAATGAGTGCCAGAAAAACCTGTGAAGTGGAACCCAAAAAGGGAACGACGAGTTGAGAGTGTATGCCAAGGGTGACATGGAGGAAATCGTTTGAGTAGAAGGAGGAGATGAGAGCTTATGGACAAATGAATATAGAAAATACGGAAATGATGAAGGCAACCAATCAACACAGACAAAAGACACCAATCACTATCAACAGAATAAACTCGAAATAAGTCACTTCCTTTACTCATCTAGGCAGCATCGTTTCAACTACAGGCGGATGACACGAATGTCGTTATTAGAGCTAGCTTGGGTCAGTACAAAACGGCAAACCTTCACTAAGCTGAAATCAGTGCGGAGATCTACTGTACTGAAGAAAAAGAACACAAATCAGATTTTCAACAGTGGTATAAAGTCACTATTTCTGTTTGGTTCATAGACTTGTTCCACGGGTAGCCAAAAGCGTTTCCAACAGCCTTCAGACTTTAATCAACTCTATACTAAAGTGTTCAGATGGCCGGCTAGAAACGATGAGCAACAAGAAAAGCTGAGAACGAACCAACCGAGGACCTAATGACCAACAAATATTCCAAATAGAATGGAGATGGGCTGTACACACGCTGAGGAGACTGTTGAGTGACATCACACGAGTTGAGCGTCCTACGCTGACATGTAGGAGACCGTGTGAAGAAGGGATGACAGCTTATGGGCAATCGTAGAGCCAGCTGTCAAAGCCCTGTGTCCCACCTGAAACCTAAGAAAATAATAATAAAAAAATAATAAATCAAAGGATGGGCTCCTTGACAAAATGAATCATTTGACAGTTAAAAATAAATTATTTAAAGGATCTGTCAGATAGTCATAAAATCAAAACTGTCACAATACACAATACACATTATTGTAGTCATCAAAGGAGAGAAAAAAACCGCACAAATCTATGCATGCATTACTTATTCAGAAAAAGAAAATATATGTTTGTGTGCGTGTGTGTTTGTGCGCGCGCGCGTGGATATTTAAACAATGCAATTGAAACATTGAATACACTGCGATATAAACAAATTATTTTTTAGTGTTAGTGTCATAATCATTCATAATGAATAACAGTATTAATAGTAATAATAATAATGTTAATAATAAAATAAGTCATATCCAACATTATTTTGTCTGGATTATTTTTCAATGAATTTGTTTAAATTCATCAATGGTTCCGAACAAATAACAAAACGCGGGAATTTAAAATACAAGAACAGGAATTAATCAGGAGTAATAACCATCAAAGGTCAATGATCAATTGTTAGAATCCAGGTGAGTCAACAAATAAACAAACAAAATTGTTTAACTAACAAACCGTCTTATTATTAATGATAATAATCACAATGTTTAGTTTTCATAATTACAATTAATTTAATTGTTACTTATGTTACTTATTGTTTGACAATAAAAAAAGGACACGTCCATACTGTATAAACACATAAGACAAAAATGCCCAACCACTCGAATGATGAATAAACGACCACAGTTACGCATTCACAAACACACACACATGCATTGTGTGAGAACAAACATGCTCAGGATGGTGAATCTAATATAAATACATTAATTTTTGCTGTTGTTGCTAAACTTGTGCCATCGCTTTTCATCAGACTAACTCAACTGTTTACAAACACACACGCACACATACACACAAATAAACAGGTTGACATAACTTTAAGTACCATATTTACTTGTGTTACTTTCGTGAATGATGAGAATAACAATAATAACAATAGTAGTAGTAGTAATGATACCAGTAGGAATAATACTAATAGTAATAATGGGGAAAAACTTTCATGTGAAGTGTACGAATTAACAGAAATGGGAATGGACAAAAAAGAAAACTGGAGAGAATGGATTCATTTCTTTGGATTATAGATCTGTTGGTGATTGTGCCGCTTCTGGTGCTGTTTATCATGCTGTTGTTGTTGTAAGCGATAATACTTGAATGTTGAAAGGATTTACCAAACTTGACATTTCTTAACGGGATTCATTGGTGACCCTGCTGGACAATCGAAGACTTTAGCGAATTCTTCTGAATTTGTTAATGTGCCAATTACTCTGAGAAAGAAAAAAAATAACAGAAGACTGTGAGCCTTCGTGACTGTTAGGGAAATTTAAATTAAAGGAATGACTTGACTTAGGTTATAACTGATAAGGAACTGAATTAATCCATTGCTACTTTGTTACATCTGCTCCTGTTAATTACTATGACGGTAATGAACTCGACTGGTACGCTAATACATCTATTTGTCCGATGTACCTTCCGATTCACTGAGCCATGCAAATATCAAAAGACAAAGGCTGGCCTGTGACTGTAAGATATTGTATGGTACATATATTAGGAAACAAAACATGATATTTATATGTTTAATGTATCACAATACAGCTGGCTCATAACCATGGGAATGGACTGTTCTTATTGGCTGGAAATGTCTATTCTGATTGGTTGGTGGTCCGACAAAGTCCAAGTTGAGACAAAAGCCGATGAATTGATCACAAACCAAATCACAATTTGCGTGATAAATGATAGATCCACATAGTAACTCCATCAAAAGATAAATCACACGATTCGTGAGAAAGGATGATATACTATTTTATTCTGGATCCTATCAACTTATCGAATTCAGTCTAAACCAAACAGAGAACCAGATACATGACACCGATTACCTATTACCTAATATCCACTCAAAGTATCCAATACAGTCTCCTACAGGAGGTCAATCACGAGCTCGAATACCTCAGTGGTAATATCTCTGACTACAGCACTAGATTACCCGGGTTTGAATGTCATGAATTCGTTGAAGACTGCAGATATGCCTTGATAACTGGTGAGTGCCAATAAGCATGGAACCTAGGTCAGGCTGGACTTCCTGGTGATTGCCTCCAACCATCTAACAATGACTACTTGTTTCTAATTCAATTTTGACTTTAGTTTTGATTGATTAGACCTTTATGTTCGCTCTCTATCGACATGTATAGACACCTCGACGATGTTTGGAAATTAGCATGTACCAGTTTATTTGGTGGGTGGTGACTGTCAGTGGAATCAAGGATGCTTATTTCGCCCTATGTGGGACTTGACAACTGCTGGATGTACTTGCGATCCCCGGTGAGAGATGGTGTTTGCACTAACACTCGAACTTAGTACCCCACGTTACGGAAACCTAAGGGTTATCTACTAGACCACTTGGATGACGCTTTGGCGTATGAAATGATAGGTACGGAGTTCGAGTCCCGGTGAGAACACCATCAATCAATGTAGAATACAGGTACATCCAACCGATGACTCGCAAGAGGGATGAAGTGCTCATCATGGATTCTATTGCGAATCACCATTCACCAAATTACTTATAGTAATAACTTCCTAGCTCGAAAGTATCAATAAACCAGCATAGATAACCGAGGAATCTTGTCACCGTTCAGGAAGTTAAATCTCAGACGAAGCAGGAGAAAACAGTAAATGCATAAGATACAATAATTACAATAAGCTACCAGAAACAACAACTTTCAACCTAATATCAGAGAACAAAGACGACTACTACCACAAATCAATAACACCATTGAATAAGGAAAGTTAGAATAATCAAACAAGACTTTAAAAATATGAAAATATCTTCAACACTATGATTCACCTTGTTGCACATTATTCAGAGTGCTTGAACATCTGATTTCAAACATTACAAGAAACTTAGACTACTTGAATCAGAGTTTAGGAATTGCCGTCTCATTCTCGGTTGGTCATACTTAATTTACGTCAAATAGAATTACTGATAAGACGAATGTTGAAAGAAGTCACTCCTTTCACTTATCTAGGCAGCATTGTTTCAACTACAGGCGACAGCATGGATGAGAATGTCAAAACCAGTCAGAATTGGAAAGGCAAATGGGCTTACATTAATTTGAAATCATTGTGAAAACCTACTGTACTCATTATAAAGAACAGGACTCGGATTTGTAACACCAGTGTCAAGTTAGTCAGTTCTTCTAAATAGTTCATAGACTTGGTGTGTCACGAAAAGCATTTCCAACAGGCTTCAGACTTTTCTCAACAGCTAGCTTCTCTGGCTCCATACTGAAGATGAAATGCCCAGGAAGGATTAGTAACAAGGAACTCTGGCAGTCAAAGAACCAACAAAGAACCTATCACCCAAAAATACGCAAGGGAGGAATAGGGATGTACTGGAAACACTCAGAGAAATTCTTTGAGTGATACTTCGTGTCAGGCCGTTGTTCGAGTGGAACCCGAATGAGAAACGGAAAACTGCACTTGAGCACTCCAGTTTGAGTAGTACGAGATGACAGTTGATGGTCAGTTGTACAAATTTCCAGAGACAATATTTATGAAGTTGAAACTAATGATTAGTCATTTGAATATCCCTGTGTGTAATTCAGAACAAGAATAATTTTAGTCAACAACTGTTTCCATCATCTCCTTTCCCAGACCCTTCTATTATAAGTTCACAGGCATAAAGAAAACAACTAAGAAGCCAATTACTTGTGTAAATTATTAGCATAATGACAGTAGTCATTATTCTAACAATAAAGATTCCAGTATGAACAATAATCAGGAAAAACTATCGTAGTACGGTTACAAAGAGGAATAATAGTCACCACTTGTTAATATTTAAATCCATATAAAACGTATGGTCGGCAAGAACATGAGATGAAATGAGCCTAAGTAAATGAATGCCATTTTTTGTGAATTTACGATGAAAAAAAATCATACGTTTCAAAGGGTGAACAGTAGTCAGTGGTTTCGAGAAGAAATATGAGTACTACAGTGCATCGGTGGCACAGCGGTTAGGACGCTCGCCGACCAGGCACATTGTCCGTGGTTGGATCTCCGGCCACAGACGCATTCCTTTACCTCGCTAAGCCAGAAATAAAAGCTGGTAAAAGAGGAAAGGTTTGGCATAAGTCTAGCAACCCCATCCTGTAAAAATAAAACATTGCTACAGAAACTTCAAGCCTCTAGCTTGAAGCCCTATGTTCTACTGGGAACGTGAAGCAATAAAAAAAACAGTAAAACAAAACAAACAAACGGCATACACTAGATGCAAGTTCGAGGTGTGAGGACAAATAATGATAGTCATTAGATGGTAATAATAATAATAATGACATGGTATTAACACAATGGAACTAGTAGTGCACTATTATCAAGTGGTGAAGAATTTATTATGCTGAAAAGAAAAGGATTGTGTAGATAAAACAGCTAATGTAAAAGTATTGAGTTAACCTCAGGGAATAACTTATTGCAATAAACATAGTTAGAACAAGGAAAGAACTAGCATGTTAGATGGTTGGAAGCAATAGGCAGGAAGCCTTCCACATAGGTTTCGCGCTGGTTGGCACTCATCAGTCAGTAACCGTAGCTGCAACCTCGAAAGAACTCATCTCCCTTCTGAAATTCGAACCCACATGACCCAGTGCTGCAATCAGAGACATTACCACTGAGCTATTCCGGCTCGTGATTGACCTCCTGTAGGACTGTACTGGATACTTGGATTGAACACTAATAACTGGTGTGATGTGTCTAATCCTTTGTTTGGTGCAGACTGAATTCTGTCACTCAGGTTTTCAATGTGGCCACCATTCCACTAGGTGGCTCCCCATCATAGTGCACTTTGAATTGTTGATGTTAGATGGTTGGAGGCAATTGGTAGGAAACCCAGCCTGACCTAAGTTTCGTGCTAGTTGGCACTCGTCAGCAGGTACGAAACGTAGATCCGAGGCTCCCTTCCGACTGCCTCCAACCATGTAATAACAACAATTCAGAGTACACTGTGATGTCAAACCACCTAGAATGGTGGCCACATTGAAAACCTGACTGATACAATTCAGTCTGCACCAAATAAAGGACTAGATACGTCACACTAGTTACCAGTGTCCAAAGAAAGAACTAGCATATTTGCAGGATAATGCGAACTGGCTTTATTTCGCGGATTCTTGTCAACCGTTTACAACATAAGCAATATCAAACTAAGAGTTACAAAAAATTTAGACATAATTTTATCGCGTTGATGTCGAGTTACCGATAAAAAGTATAAGCCCTAAAATTCCGAAATGATGTCAGTAGACAAATTATTCACAGCTAAAAAGGCTAACTATTTATAGTACAATCAGACAGGATGGGGGGAGTAGAGTTCAGATTTGGCACAGACACAAGTAATGACAACAGAGAGAAAATAAAATCAAAACACAAAATGAATTTACACATAATACGATGGAAAGCTCAAGAGGGTGGGAGTGAATAGTAAAAGTGAAATTATGACAGGCATACAATTAAGTTAATTTTAAAGAAAGGTAGGAATTATATAATTCAGTTTAGATTTCCCCGTCGATTGAGGGGACCGAAGTGCTTGGTTTCAAGTTGACATGTCTGCCCCTTGTGCAGATGCCTCGACGATTTCTGGTCGTGTAACTTGAAGTCAGTTGGTGGGGGGTGACTTTGAACCTCTGTGGGAACCCTATCACTTAATAGGGAATGCAGGTACATCCAGTGGCTGACGAGTCCCAAATTGGACGAAATACGCATCCTGGATCCCACTGCTAATCAACATTCACCAAATGCGTTCAAAAGTATGAATACTTAAAATAATAACAGTAGTGTGAAGTGTGGTTGAAATATCTGTGATTATAATTGTAGTTCAGTAATATGTGATAAAGCAAATAATGTCAGATGGACAATAGATCCTAGAATATACAGATCTTGGAATGGGATGTGGAATTAATAGCATTAGTAGGTAACTGAAACATTATGTAACGTGATGGGAAGTTTGAAAGGGTGTAATTTAACTCCAGTTGACCCTCAATAGCCGTAAGTTGCTCTCCGCCTCTGTAAAATATAAGTTTTCCTGCTCTTATGAAGCAAGGTACATCGGCTGTAACTAGGGTATGCCTTCCACAAGGATACGAGAGCACGCTCCAGAATGGTTGTACTAGGGGTGAAAGGAAAGATGTGAGAAGCTCTATTCTAAAACACTTGATCGACTTCTGTCAATCAGCTAACCCCAACCGTGATTCTAAGATCTTCTATCGAATTCTCAGAGAATTTTTACATTTCCTTCGTCCTAAACTTCTAACTACAAAGTAGGCCTTGCTCATTCATAAAATTCAAGTTAGACCTTTGTGTGCTAAAAAAGTACTTACATTCCCTGTTTCTAGCTTGATCGTAGAGAGATAAACATTTATTCATTTTCGATTTTGTTTATTTATTTAATCTATTCACCTTCCCCTTATTACTACGACTGTCATTATTACTATTATTACTCTCTCTTTGAAGAGTTTCCTGTAGTGTTTCACTTGTCCCACTTATTATTTCAAATTAATATGTTTTTGCAATGTTAAAAGGCAATAGTGGTGCTATAAGGAGTGCGATAATTGAACACCTGGTTAACACTGATCATTCCATCTCAACAAACGCCTCCTGCTTCAAAGTAATCTACAGAGTCAGGTATGACTTACCAAAGGCAATAGAGTTTCGTCTTCTTTGTATCACTGAAACTCTGGCTATTCACATTGAAAAACTGGAGCTGTACATACAAAAGAGAATTACTCAACCACTTCTATTATCATGGTAGCAGCTTTGTAGATTTTTGATGACTTAATTTTGTTTCTTTGCCTGTTTCTTTAACTGCTTATAATTCTTGTATTCATTTAGGACTCTTACGTAATTTCGTATTCTCTACTTTGTTCCTATGTGTGTATCCTGAGTACAACTCAATCATCAAACTATTCATATTATTACGTAAGTTCTTTTAAACAACAGTTTATGACAACTCATCACCTTTGTTACTACACTAGTTTCAGTAACACCTAATTTTTTTGACCATTTTTTATTACGTAACTCCGCTCAAAACTTACTAATTTTCACCTGTTTGGTCAAAATAACCAAAGTAACCATAACCAATTGTATTTTTCTACAGTTGGTTTGTAAGGATTAGTTTTGTTTTTTAACGAGTTGATCACGGATTGATATCAGTTAGAGAACCATTGAAAACCAGGGAGTACTGGACAGCTACTGTTTCATCCTAGTTTGGGAATCATCGGAAGTACGCACCCACCACCAGGGTTCGAACCCAGGACATTCCGGTTAAAAGGCAAGCTCGTATACCATTCAGCCACTGAGACCCGATTCAATGGCCTGCCCATGAATTCTAACTTCTACCAATTCGTGATTTAGCGCGACCCCAACAAATGTCATCGGCGGGACATCCATCCTCACACTCGACTGGATGGACCTCACTGACCACGACTTCTCACTAGAACTCCAGGAAACTCCGTCCTGTAGTTAGTCACTAACGGGCATCAGATTTTTGTTTGACAAACTTAACGTACACATGCATACAAAATAACTCATATATATTCGCGATTGTACAGCTAAGAAAATGAATTCGACGCCAAAAAGAGACTCTTCGCTGAACTACGTATTTTGTTTTCATTAATGACTGAATGGGGATTATTCATGAATGAACATTCTATCTCATAATGTTATGTAATGTTTTAATCGCTTACTAACAGTACTGATTTTACATCCCTTCGAAAATCTATACATTCTATGAACTATTTTATATGTGACGTTACTTACTTTATCACCTGATACTGAACTATGATTATAATCGCATTCCACATTATTTATTTTTATGATTTTAAGCATTCACGTCTTTGTTAAAATTTCCTAAAGGTATATACTTTCTTAAAAACCATATACGCACATATACGATTGTACAGTCTGACAATAAATTCGTTGAAATGAGTCTCTTCGCTGTATAACGTAAATTTGGAAAGTAAGTTAGAAAAGTCATAGAACAAATGTGTGTCTGGGAAACAAGGAGTCAAAGATGGAAGAAAAACTGGATCGAGGTCTAAAGTTTCTAGTAGTCAATGTCTTCAGAGGATATGCTAACTCTATTGTTAGTCTAGGTATCTAAATTATCTGGGAACAATTTTGTAAGTATTATCGGCTGGATTTACAACAGGTGGCAGACTTCTATCAACAACTACCTTCGCTCCATATTCAAGATCAAATTACCAGAAAGAATTAGTAACAAGAAACTGTGGGAATAAACCAACCAAGAGCCGATCACCCAACAAATATGTAGGAGAAAATGGAGATGGATTGGGCACACATTGAGGAGACCATCGAATGACGTCGCGCGCAATGCGCGCCATCGTTCGAGTGAAATCCGAATGGGGAGCGACGAGTGGGTTGTCAGTGTGAGGAGGAGATCGTGTGAGTTGGAGGAGGAGATGAGAGATTATGGTCAATCGTGGAGCCAGCTGAAGAGGATGGCAGAAAATAGAACAAAGTGGAGATGTGTTGTTGAAGTCCTATGTTCCACTCGGAACCCAAGGGAATAATAATATTATAATAATTATTATCGGCTATTATTCCTGGTCAGTACAGATGTGGATTCATAACTGTAAGGTTCCGATGGATTTACTGAAAATGGCTATGTTTGTTCTAATTATTCTTGTAATTAATAGTGATTCAAAATAGATACCACGATGGTACTTTATCAAGGAAAAACTTACATAACGAACATACACACGAACTTACCTGTATTGTTCCACTGTATGTGAATCGAAAAGCACTGTATTGAGAATTGACTGAGGTAGACTTTTAATGCACCACAACTATGGTTTAAAGATAATGGCAGAAGGCAAAAAGATAACAACTGGGTATGAAATAATGGAACTAATAAAAATTTCAGTTATCAGAGTTTCATTATGAAACAACATCAGTTAGAGAGATCATTGGAGATCAAGGAGCACTTGATAGCCGGCTGTTTCGTCCTAGTTTGGGACCAGGCTGGTTTACTGTCCAGCCAGTGGAGCTGCGTGGAATTCAGTGACTCCTGATTTCTAACTTTGTCAACTCATGGTAAATCTCTGTCTTCACCAGTGCCCTTAATGAGAATCCCCTTTACTTTGGCAGGGTGGCCCATACTGGTCACGACTTCCCCCACTGCAGCCTCAAGAAATCCATCCGGTAACCATCAGTAAGTTTGTGATTAATATTCATATTATCGGATTTGTAAAGATTTCCGAAAATAAGACGAAACAACTGGCTGTCCAGTGGTGTTCAGCGATCTGTAAACATTTGTTAACAATAAGTGACATAAATCCACAGCCATCCAATGTCATTTGTCCATGTATCCCACTTAGTATGCCCAGTCACTCAAAGCTTCTCATCAGAACTCCAGGACGTACATGTCATCGTCAGTGTTCAGTGTAAATATATGACTAAATTCACACAAGGAAGTGAACTGTATTATTATTGTTCCCTTAAGTTCTGAGTGGAATATGGGGCTTCAACAGCACATCGCCATATCATTCTATTCTATCCTTTCCTGTTTAGCAGGCTTCAAGATTGACCATAAGCTTCCATCTCCTCACATGATCTACTCCACGTCATATATGGACGTCCACCTAGTCTTTTTCCTTTTGGATTCCACTGGAACGATAACCTGGAGCGCGATGTCATTCAGTAGTCTCCTTAGCGTGTATTTAGTCCATCTTCATTTTCTTCAGCATACTTTTTGAGCAATGGGTTCTTGATTGGTCCGCTTCCAGAGTTTCTTGTTGCTAACCCCTTCTGGCCATTTGATCTTCAATATGGAGCCTTTGGAAATGTTTTCTGTTACGTGACAGCCAAGTTTCTGACACATATAGAAGTGAATTGACAATGGTATTGAAAATACAAATACTGAGTGTAGAAGACTTCCGAAATAATTTCAGAGTGATAATGTCTGTCTTGCCTTTCCGATCCCAACTACTTCTGACATCCTTATCCGTGTCCTTAGACTGTATTTGAAACGATGCTGTCTAGATAGGTGGAAGAAGTGACCTCCTTCAAATTTCTCCCGTTTACGGTGATTGGTCCTTGTTGTCGTTGTCGGTTGGTTGTCGGGTATCTTCATCACCTCTATCTTCTCTATGTTCACTTAAATACAGTATTCGCTGCCTACTTCTTTTGCCAGTTTGTTGGCTTTTGTCAATGAATCTTCGAATTTATGTGACGTTAGACATGAAATGTCCGTGAAGTCCAGATATTCTAGAGTTTTCATTATATGCCCAGTGTATTCCTGTTTCCCTGCTCCCAAAAGTGTGCCACCGTAGTAATCTATCATAAATATATCTAGAACTTAACTAGTATGATTTGTAAGTAAGCTCTGTCTTGAAGGAGGTTTATTCATGTAAACTCGGACATTTTCCATTAGGAAAATAAGTGGCAAACAAAAGCGATACCACAGATGAGTTATAAAATGGTCAGGAACTGAAGAAGGTCATCTCCGTTAAAACATGTCACGGAACATTTATGATCAATTGGGTAAAGATGTTTAAATAAACCAACCTCCAGTCAAGAACCTGTTTTCCCACTCCTTTCGTTGTAAAAATAGCAGTTGTAGGCCATTTCAAGTCTATTTTAATTACTTTATATTGAGTAAAGAATTATGGAAGTCATAAATCAATAAGTAGACTGGAGCTATTCTTATATTTAAAACTGACTGAGGGCATCAATCCGTGATTAAACTTAAAACAAGTTAAATCCCTAAAAACTAACGCTTGAAAACTAATCTGATGCCTGCTAGTGGCTGTTGCCTGAAGTTCTGATGAGAAGTTGTGACAAAGGGAGTCCACCAGGTTAGGAGTAAGGATAGACAGACTTTGGCTGATGGTCATGCTAAAATCCCCAATTGGCAGAAGTTGGAACTGGTGGGCCATTGGATCGGGTCACAGTGGCTGAATGGTCTACGAGCTAGGTTGAACTCTGATGAATGCGTACTGATGATGAGTCCCAAACAAGGACGAAACAGCAGTCCAATACTCCCTGGTATTCTACTGGTCCTCTAACTGATGTTTGCTAGTTGTCAAACACACAACCAATCAAATCCCTGCAAACTAACACTTGATTTCATTAAATATTTGACAACTTACTTGGGCAAATCCAATGAAAAACAACTGATCCGGTGTAAAGTTTAAACCCGGTAAAATAGGTTTATCTTGATATTTAGCCTCAAGCTTTTTAAATGCCTATAAATTTTAGAAAATACATACATAAAACTTGAATGACTTATTGCTCTAACAGTTACAATAAATTACAATTAACTGAATTCATCGAAAAAATAACAACAAAAGAAACTATGCAGCAGTGTGGACGCACCAATTACCTTGCAACGCAAGTGCAAAGCAAGTTGGTGAAATCAGGTGAAAGGCATTACATTTTCAGTGGTTCTGTAACTGACATCAATCCGTGATCAAACTTGAAACAAATCAAATCCCCACCAACTAGCTCTTGAAAGTATTAAAAGTGATTCAAGACAGTAGTTCAGTTGTAGATTATCTGGCGAACCACATCTCATTAGCTCTGGTGTTCAGTCCAAGGCTGGAGCATTATTAGAACATTGATAATTCAGTAGTAATTCCGATAAAGAGGAAGGTTGGGTATGAGACTAGCAGCTGCCTCCCCTAAAAGAGATAAATGTTACCAAAACTTGATGCCCAATGTCCCATTCAGAGCGCAAAAAAATGAAATAATAAATTTTCACTTTTAAACAGATACGATGATGATGGGACTAAATGAAAACACTCTGGCAGCCTGCTTACATCACTGGGCTAACTTGCTTTTCTCCCATTAAAATCTATCTTATTGGCTCTACTTCATAATGTTTTAATTATTCGATTACATCTCTAAATCGGAATTCATATTCGCGCTTGTTTTCAAATAGGTTTCAAGCCTCAAATATGGATTTTTCGAAGAAGCTGATAAAAAGTATGGCAGATTATTGGAGTGTGCTTTGGATAGAACAATACTGCATATTATTATTATGATTTTATTCCTTTACGTTCCCAGTGAAACACATGGCTTCAAGCTAGAGGCATGAAGTTTCGGTAACAGTGGTGTTTATTTTTACGAGATGAGGTTGCTAGCCTCGTGCCCAGCCTTCCCTCTTTACCAGTTTTATTACTGGCTTTGCGAGACAAAGGAGTGTGTCTGTGACCGAGGATCGAACCGCGAACCACATGCGTGGTTCGCGAGCATTCTACCACTCTGCCACCAACGCACACGCTACAGTAAATTAGCAGAAATTAATATGTGTTGGTGACTGAGTGTTGGATTGTCCGCCAACTACTCAGGTGGTTAGTATCGCCTTCTCGGTCGAGGCACTCCTAAGCATCGCATAGTTTAGCAGCCAGTAGCGAGCCCGGAAAAGATAAAAAGGTGGACATGAAGCTATCGACCACAGCTCTTAAAATCAAAAACAACACCACTACCTGAACTTCAAAGCCTGAAGAGCTATTTTCCATTCAGAAAGCAAGGAAATAACAACCTAGCTGGTAGAATTCAGTCTTCACCAAAGAAAGGACTAGACACATTACACTAGTTACTGATTAGTGTCCAGTGAAAGTATCCCATATAGTTCTAGAGGGGATTAGTCGTCAGCCTGAATAGCTCAGTGATAACGTCGCTGACTTCAGTACTCACTTTGTAACGTGAGTTCGAATCTCAGTAGGGACATGAGTTCCTTCAAGGTCGCAGATACACCTTACTGGCTGGTGAGTGCCAACTTTCACGACACCTAGTTCAGGCTAGGCTTCCTGCCGATTGCCTCCAACCATCTAATATCAACAAAATGAAAGTTTTCATGCTGTATGTACATAAAAATTTCTGACACAGAATAATTCAAACAATTAAGCTTTTGAAAAGTAACAAAATAAGCTTACTTTGTATGCTGCTTTAATACCTCCATTATCAGCAATATTTTCTCCTAAAGTCATTTTCCCATTGAGCTAGAAATAAAATTTAATTACCAACAATTAATGATATTACTAATAAATACAATAAAACAATACTTTAAAGAATACAGCATACCTAAGTGAAACGGTGAGTATCAATAGTAAAATCTTTATATCCGTTATAACAGTGCATTAGTTAAAAGTCTGTAGGTGACTCCTTATGCAAAAATATGCTGAGCTTGGTAACAAAGTACTTGTGAAATCACATATAAGGAGGAAAAATGGACAATTTGAAAGGTTTGATTATGTAATCTCATACAATCTAAAAACAGTAAGTAATGAATAGCGTTCAGAAATGATTATATTTAAAATCGTAGTCTTTGTTGTGTTTTTTAACTTGTAAAATAATTTGGTTTGTAGCCTTTCTTCAATTCGGGTTTTCCCTATTCTTCTTTTCCTTCAAACTCCTAACTTTTGATATATATCATATATATATTCTGAATCTCTTGCACTTATGAACAATATTCCTGTTTCCAAGCGCTAACGGCTTTAATATCAATTATTTCTGAAAGCTATTATTATTATTAATTCCTTGGGTTCCGAGTGGAACATAGGCCTTCAACATCATGTCGCCATTGTGTCCTGTTTTCTTCAGTCCTCTTTAGCTGGCCCCACGATTCCCCGTAATATCTCTTCTCCTCCTCAAATGATCTCCTCCATGTCAGTCTCAGACATACGCCCAACTTTTTTTCCATTCGGCTTCCACTTGAGCAATGAAATCGCATGAGATGGCACTCAACGATCTCCAAGGTATATGTCTGATTCATCTCCATTTCTCTTCAGAATATTCGTTGAACAATAGGTTCTTGATTGGTTCGTTCCCAGAGTCTCTTGTTGCTAATTCTTTCTTATCAACAATCTGATCATCAGTATGCAGCTAGAAAAGGCAAATGTTGATAAGCATCTGTAGTGGCCTGTTCAAAATGCTTTTAGTGACGTGTAAGCCAAGTTTCTGACCCATAGAGTGGTACTAACTGACCTAAAAGTGGTACTGAAAATCCACACACACTGATTTCAGAGTAATGAAAATCTATCTCGTCTTTCTGATCCTGGTTGGTTTTGATATCCTCATCCATGTCGTCCGTCTGCAGTTGAAACGATGTTGCTCAAATAAGTGGAAGAAGTGACTTCCTTCAAATTTCTTCCGTTGATAGTGATTGGTCCTTATTGTAGTTGTTGTTTGGTTATCTTCATCACCACCAACTTGTCTATGCTCACCTGTGGTCCTGTCTTCTGTGATTCTTCTGACAACTTGCTAGTTTTCGTCTGTAAGTCTTTCAGTTTACGTGACATTAGACATACACCTTCCGTGAAGTTCAGATTTTCTAGAGTCTTTTTATCTGTACGCTATTCATCCCTTTTTGTTTTTAGATTTTATAAGACTACTGCATCATAAACCAACATCAGTTAGAGAGAACACTGAAAACCAGGAGGCACTCAACAGCCAGCTTTTTCATCCTAGTATTGCACTTTTTAGCAGTACGCGCTCATATTAACCCTACCAGGGATCGAACTCGGAATCTTCAGGTTACAAGACCATCCAACCACTTCAACTGGAATTCGGTGACCAGTGAATTCTAACTTTGTCAACTTGTGATATAGTACTACCCTCACCAATGCCTTCGACCAACATCCCCTTCAACGTGACATAGTGGATCCCACTGAAGCTTCAGAAATCCTCCAGTTGCCATCAGTGAGCTAGAGATTGATACTCAGATTATAGTTCGTAACGAAAATCCAACGTTTGAAATTATTCCAAATATCCCCACAAATCCCATAATCTTAAAGAAGATTTGTGATAAAATATATGAAGCAGTTATCAAAATACACTATAACTTAGTTATTTATTATTTTCTTTACCCTACCTAAGCATATTCAGAAATTTTTAGAAAAAACGACTGTCGACCTTAATAAGTGCGGCATTACATTTTATGACTGTTCTTCTGTCCTAGATACACTTTAATTACTGGTTATTTAATTACAGTGACCTTATTCGTTTTAAAACCATTCAGATTTCTCCAATCGTTGTCCAGTTTCTCCGATTGTAAGGAATGTTCATTTCCTTGACCTTGATGTCTTTAACTGCTTTTCGCCACAATTTTCAAAATATGTGCATTACCTTTTCTTCACTATTATTATTATAGTTATTATGTGTTTTAAACGTTCAGCTACGAAGAGCCATCAAAAAATCATCCTTAAACCATGATTATTTTTGGGACCATATATAATTATTTCGGAAGTCCACTTCTGTTTATTAAGTCAAAAAACTAAAATAAACAGGTGAAGACAGTTTAGAAGACTTTTTAAACTATAGAAATAGTAAAGTTTCATGTGAAGGTGCCTTGATTTTCTCATAAGTGTTCATTCACCTGCGGAATTTGATCTTTTATAAACAGATGATTTCCTGATTTTTGAATTGAAAAAAAAAGATTTCCACAGTAAAATAATCTGGTAGATGGTGACTATCAATGGAATGCAGGAGGCATGTTTCGTCATTCTCGGGACTCGTCATCTGAACGTACCTGCATTCTCACCCAGTGAGTAGTGGTGTCATGTCAATAGAAGCCGAACAATTCTGTCTGATCAGTCAGTTAATGGGAAAATCAGAATTGATTTGAAAGAAATAATTACTGATTCCCGTTGCACAATAGGTGGCTCCCGCAACCTAGGTGGTGGGAATGCAATCACTTAATAGGGGTTGCAGGTGCACCAAGCTGGCAGGTCCCAAATAGGGTGAAATTCACATCCGGGATTCCGCTTCTAGTTGCCATCCATCATATTAATTCAAGTTAGTCCTCAGACATTGTCTAAGCGCCTTAACTGAAGGCCACCAACATGTTAATAGAGGCTGGACATTTTGGTCTTGTCAGTCAATCAAGGGGAAAATTGAAATCGACTCCAGCGAATGATTTTTATAATTGCCACATGGTTCATCATTACTGGAGTGGAATCGTGTCAGTAGGAGTAATAATAATGATGATAAATAGTACATGCGCAGTCTATTTTTATGTTTGACTGATATTTCCCTCCTTATCCCACCAGTGTTTTCCTATTTTTGGCATATGAAGGAGAAGAGGAATTCCAACATGTCAGCGGTGTGAATTCCATTTTCGATTATATGAAAACAAAAATATAGGAGTTATGAAATGCTGACAGAGAAATTACAACTAACAAAGTTATTTAACATGTATACCACGTAGGCTGAAACACTTACACTTGTATTATGTATTGAATAATTACTATATTGTTCAATCATACACTGGGAACGTTTTTCAAAAGCTGTCTGTGTTGCTGTACTCCACCATTCCCGCATATTTCCTTTCGCATCAAACTTTGCACCTGTAAAATGAGATATACACAATTTCTTTTCACTATACACATATATATAGCAGTTATCATGTTTGTTTTTTATAATAGTATTTTTAATCAACTGTAGTAAGAATATGATTGAATTAGATAAGTAAGAAGCGATTTATTTATGCCTTACAATTGTGTTAGTGAATAAATATTTGCACAAAAGTCCAATTAACAGTTCTTACCAGTTCTTACAAATCAAGTCTACAAGATGTTCGCTCCACTTTATACTATGAAGGAAAGTCTAAATATCATTTCCAGTTTACTAGAATCAGACACAACACTATCACAAAGATGTCCACTGGACACTAATGAAGTAATTAAGAGCTTAAAATTCTGTCTGGTAAGTAATTATTTTACATCTAAGAGGAGTTTATATAGACAGACAAGTGGTGTTGCTATGGGTTCACCAGTTTCCCCAATAGTCGCTGATCTTTTTATGAATAGATTTGAAGATAACATCTTTTCAAGCCCACTCACGCCTAAAATGTGTTTTTGTTGTGCTAAGAAGAGATCTATACAATTCATTCTTTAAGAAACTGAACAGTCTATCTCACTGCATCCAGTTTACTTCGGAAGTAGAATCAGATGTCAGTGAACTGTCATTTCTAGACTGCCTAGTTAAGAGGACGGAAAACGGATATTTTAATATATCTGCATTCAGGAAGAAAACCTACTCCAACAAATATTTAGACTTCAGATCATCACACCCCATCAGCGCTAAAGTATCAGTTGTTTCAGTTCTTCTTTGACGAGCACACAGTTTGATAACGGATGAGAAAGAAAACGAAGAGGAAATATCAAACATTACTGAGACTCTCAAGCAAATTAACCACCAAAAAACTCTTTTTTATTACAGCTTGATTCCACACCATATTTCTCGGTACAGGAACGGAATTTTCAACATGTGATATCAGTAGCCCAAATTTTGCAGGCCGACCATAGATATCAGGTGTGCGTTGGCAGGGAACCGAGCCCCGGACCATGTGCATGGTCGGCGACAGTCCTAACCACTGTGCCACCGACGCACACTTCATCAACAAAATCAACACTGACGTTAAATGTGGTCGAAAACGTATTCCGAAAACAGTTGTCATTCCATATAGAGAAGAGACGTCAGACGATATCAGAAGAGTGCTCAATAAGCACAACAAAAGTGTTTTTTTTAAAACATCAGATACATACAAACACTACAAAGCAACCTTGTCTATGTAAAAGATCAAATCCTTAAGGTTTCTCTATCTAATTGTGTCTATAAAATAAAATGCTTGGAATGTGATGCGATATACATCGAACAAACATCACCAAGGAGAAATCAAAATCAAAAGAAATGAATACTGTAGAGCATCTGTTCGACCACCGAGAAATCCAGCTGAACTAGAAAAGCTTCAAAAATCACCAGTCATAGGTCTACACGCCATAGAATCAGGCCACAAAGTTAACTTTGACAATATTGAAATAATCCAGAAAAGCATTTCAGAAATCTCAAAGAACGTCTAATATCATCAGAAGCACTCCATATCAAATGCAATCCAAATTGTCTGATGATTAGGAGTGATGGCCTTAAACAGAATTTGACCTGGTTACGACATACACAAACCCTCCCGCATGAAATGACAAAATAAACACGAATGTGACAGGCAATTTCATTATGTAAGTACACTCTGCTTTTATAATTTTACACACTCACCAAATCCAAAAATCTACATTTGGTTTTGTTATCTTTACTAACCAGCTGACCAACTTGATAACAACATAAAAATAACCCTATGCCGATTAAGTTGTTATATATATATATATATATATGCTGATATTTTGTAAATTCTGGTTAAATAATACTTTGATGAAGCTATTAGCAGTATTAAATAGAGAAATGTCAGCAAGAAAACCTTTTTTTAATACTAAACGTCTAACTTGTCTAACAAAAAGTTTTGAATCAGCCACAAGTCTATCAAATTATTTGAAAGGTCTTACGTCATCTGACACTTCATGATATCAGATCATATGATTATAAATTGTTTCAGTCTGCTAGTCTGTTATGCAATACTGTAGGTGCATAGGAAGGTTTGAACAAGAGGATTTCAGTAAAATTGGGTGCTAAATGATATGAAGCTAATCACGCGTATTCCGTCAACACGGATGAAGCGATCATACTGTACAAGGTAAAAACAATTTGAACTTATCAGCTAACTAACAATTAAGGATCACTTTTCTCCACTTAAGTGTACCTGATGTCTATTACTTCAAAACTTAAAGCATTACTAATTTGTACAATATGTCATAATGGTCAGCGTTTAGATATAGAGGATTTGTTGTGAGTGTGACATACCGGACTATGATATTAGATGGTTGAAGAAAATCGGCAGGAAGATTTGCAACTAAGTTTCGCGCTTGATGACATTCTCTAGTGAAGCGTATCTGCAGTCTTTAGGAAATTTATGTCTCTTCTGAGATTTGAACCCAGCTCACCCAGTGTTGCAGTCATAAGCATTACCACTGAGCCATTCAAATTCTTGTAGGACGGTAATGTATACTTTGAGTGGTTAGCAGGTAGTAACCAATGTTATGCGTCAGTGACATCACACGACAGGCTGTCGAGTGGAACCCGAATGGGAAGCGGCAAGCTGGTCATCAATGCGAGGATGAGAAGGAGGAGGCCATGTGAAGAAGAGATGAAAGCGTGTGGGCAGACGTGGAGCCAGGTGAAAACGTTGATGGAGAACCGAACGCAATGGAGACGTGAGGCTGAAGCCCTATGTTCCTCTAAGAACTAAAGGGAACAATAATAATAATGTTATTCGTCTAGTCCTTGATTTGATGCAGACGGAATTATATCAGCCACAAGTGCAGTTGCGGACTATGAAGTGAGTGAAACGGAAATAGGCGATATAAGGAGGAAAATAAATAAATCTTCCATATAGCGCTTAGAGTAAACTCGTCTGTGAAGGTCTTATGCGTTTACTTTTGATATTTAAAAGTGAAATTCCCCATATTCGGCAAAATGGACATAAAATAGCTTATTCTTTAAGAATTATAGTTCAGTCTGAAACGTTGTCAAATGTAAGCTGTCCTAATAATAATTGTTTATGATCGTTATAATTCTCTTCAGCCCTCAAACAAATTTACTAACCCTGAATAGCCAACTTATAGATTAAAAAAGAGATTTATTGTCTACCAATAAATCCAATTTATCAGTTGAATAGTACTTATGGATATAGGAAGTGTATAGATGAAATGGATATTGTCGAGTTCAGTAGATACATTGTTACTAAAGGAGTGAATGTCTTAAGTCTAGCATTTAATTTGATATTTATTTTTTTATTCCTTTGCGTCCCGAGTGGAATATAAGACTTCAACTCTGAAGTTTTTGTAGCAGTAGTGTTATTCTTTTTGACGAGGTAGTGTTGCTGGCCTCTCACCCAACCTTCCCTCTTCACTGAACCTATTGTCGGTTTAGCAAGGTTTGGAAGTGCATCGGCCGGGGATCGGACCCCATACTACATGCATGGTGGGCAAGTGTCATACAACTGACGTTTTGTGGCCCAACTACATGTCACTGATATGGTCTTTTGAAGGTGCCTAAAAATGGTCTTCAACTTCGCCCAGTACTCAGTATGCTTTATTTCACCTTATCACTCAACCACAAAAGTAGTTCGCTGAACTTCTCGAAAAAGACCTAGAAAGCTTTCAAAGAACATTGGAGCAGAAGGTTAATCTGTAGAGATATGAAAAGACAAATAACTTATCTCCTAGCCAAAGTGTTAAAGGAGACAAAAACGATTCATTCGAGGTTCAAATATGAGATTATCAAAGTACTGAAAAGCCATGTATGTAAGTGCATCAAACGCCTATTCTAAACTGCTAACATACACCCGATATTAAACTCTAGTCAAAATATGATTTGATAGTGTTTGAAAATTGAATTATATCTACTATTTCAGACGGTACTGTCGAGCTTATTGGACATTGGAAAAGGATGACAAATTCTTTTATTTCTAAATATCTTTTGGAGCCTGACCAGAGCAAATTTAATCACTCTAAAGTCTTTGCTTTCACTACCTTTGTGTAGATGAAGCAAACATGAGCAGGAATGCAAAGCTCCGCCTTCCTTTACCTTGATCCTGATATTATTGTCATTATTTGATTTGGGTTCTGAGTAGAAAATAGTGCTTCAACACTTCACCATCATTTCATCCCGTTCTCTGAAGTCGTCTTCAGCTGGCTCCACGATTATTCTCCTCCTTAAACGCTGACCCCCGTTTCACTCTCAGACCAAGCCCAACTAGTCATTTTCCATTCATGTTCCACTCGAGGTTATGCGCTATGTCACCCAACAGTCCCATCAGTGTGTGTATGTGAAACATCTCCATTTTAACCGGAATACATTTTGGACGACACTTTCATGATTGGTTCGTTTCCGGCCAGAGTCCTTTGTTGTTATTGTTATTATTGTTGTTCTTGACAAGCCATCTGATCTTCAATATAGAGTCAGAGAAGACATCTGTTGATTAAAGTTTGCAGTGACCTGTTGTAAATGATTTTGGGGACTCATGAGCCAAGTTTCTGACCCATATAGAAGAGCCGACTGACTTAACATTGGTGTTGAAAATCACAATTTTGTTCTTCATGCCGAGTTTAGCTAATTTCATCATTCCACTTCACTTCGTCTCCTTTGTCATTACTATTATTATTACTACTAATATTAAAATTTCAATTTCTTCGATAGTATTTAATTCATTTAATTCCACTTAAAATCCATTATTTCTTTTAACAACCCTTTTACGTATTTCATCCATTTCAACCATACCCTACCCTACTAACAATCGAGTTATTGTTTCAATCTGTGTGTGTGTGTATTTGCTGAGCAATTTTAATGTGATAAACTCCTTATTGTTACACTTAAATGTCAATACAGCTGAACAACTTGAAAATGAAGTTGTTGAAAGGAGAAATATTTCCTTATTCATGAATAAATGGATATATTT